TTTTCCAAGGGCAAACTCAAATGTAAAGTAAATCCATGGCTTTTTATATCATGCTTTGCGAGTCCTAGCAACTGGGCTTAAGGGGGATTACAGTTGAATTTTGGGGGAATTGGGGTTGAATTGAGAATGAAAGAAAGAAGGATAGAAGAGGGTATACACGTAAACCAGTTATTCCGCTATTTGGCTCAGGGCCACCTTTTTGTGGTCGCGGACTGTCTACTGAGTCTTTTGTCTATTAATTATTCATTAAAATTTTTAATATTTAACTACCCTTAAATCCACTTTTTCCATTTGACTTTTAATATTTGCCCTTCAAACTTTTATTGATTACAAATATGCTATAAATAATCACTAAAAATTCTCAAAAACTCATCGTTCCAAGAACTTAAGGATGAGTGATTTATTTTTAACATCGAATGCCATTTTGACGAGATTTTCCATGAAAGGTGCTCACATATAATACAAACAAGGCGTTTAACTGTTATCCCCCCTTAATTCTGCAGCCGGACCTCTTTAGAATCAGTTCAAACGTCTAAACAAAGACACCTATAGCTGGGTGACGAGCCCCTGAATTCCTAAGAGCTTTGTGAAAACTAAGAAAGAGGCAGCCTTTCGCAAAAAGATGAGATTTTATTATAAGGCTTATAATTGCTGACAACGACTGCTACGAGAACGACAATAATAAAAAAAACTGGGCCGAATATTTAAACGAAGTTTAGGTTAGACCTAATTTTTGACTAGATCGAGGTTTACACAAGGCCTCCAAAGACCACGGCTTGGCGTGGTCTAAATTGCATTATTTAAATGCAGTCGAGCAGAATTCCACGGAGACCACGTCTAAGTGTAGTTTCACCGACTTCCTACTGTTTTCCACAAACCGCGTGTTCAGAATTTTGACGAAGCCAGATGAAAAAAAAGGCGTCAAAATCTCGAAATGCAAATTTTAGCGAAGAAAAACTTCTACTTGCCGAGCTCGAGAAACAGTATCCCTATATGTCAGCTTTAAGAAAAAATGTCATCGTTGAAAAAAAACTTGGAAAGTTTCAAAGGCGGAAATGCCGATAGTAACAAGCGCGATATGAAGGCAATTCAGAGATGTTGGAAGCGCATGAAACTGCAAACCAAAAAGAAATTTGATGAGCAATGGAGGGAAAGGAAGAAGACAGGTGGTGGTAAAGCCCCTGCCTCACCAAACGCTATTAGTAAGCTGGTTGCTGACGGTATTCCAGCGTCCGGACAACAGCCTTGTGATTGACGACACTGATGAACCCGGACCAAGTGTCCAATGCAGTATGCCGAGTACCAGCTTAAGCCAGGACAGAAAACGAACAGCAAAGCGAAAGAAAAAAGTGAAAGTATCCGTTGTCGAGTAAGCGAATTTGCAATTTTCAATTATCCTCTTTTTTATTTATTTATTTCCTGACAATCTGCAAAATAAATAATTTGAAATATATTTTTTAAAAATAGTGCCAGAGATGCATGTGAACAAGAAGACCAAAAAGGTGACGATCCATTCCTAATCTTAGCGAGAAAGGAAAACGAAGCGAAAATGAGGATTCTTTAATTAAAAGAGTGGAAACTTAAAAATCAACGCATGCAAATGAGAATAGGTCTCCCCCCATATGTGTAATAAGAAAATGAAGATGTGTATCATTAGTAGCTGATGTGTGAAATTCCATGCTGAAACTGAACTACTTGTAATAAATATTGTATAATATGACAAAATAAACAAATTATGTTAAGGTACATTACAGTTCCTTTTATCCCTGTTAACAGTTTAGGGTAGCCATTTTTGTATAAGTAGAGACAAATTAACACGACGCCAGTGTCAATGCTGCCGAAAGCAGGGCCAAAATTCATTGTTTTGGGGACAGCCAGTATCAATCTTAACCAAGTTGCAAGTTCTGCTGAGAGAATTTCCCTCCTCTGACTTATACATGTATCTCACGTGCCTAAGTAAAATAGCGGCTGATAATTATCTGGCGTTTAGCGTTTCAACTTGCGTCTGCAGCTCCGGAAGGTTCTTCAGCCGAGGTTCATCGTAATCATCATCCCAATCCACATCATTCATTTCACTTTCTCTCTGCATTATTGTGAGATTGCGCAAGGCCACAACGGCTTACGCTGCGAAAACATCCGTTTCTCCTCGCTCTTCGCCGCTGGGGACGTTTCGCAGGCTAACAACGGCTACAATGATAACAAGAGAATTTCCAAGACGGTTACGCAACCCTACACACTGCCTTCATGCAAGCAAGGGATGCGTCTCTTCAGAATTTCAAAGCACCTCTCTATCACAGTTCTGCTACGTTTTTGAGCGTCATTATAACGCACATCCTCTTCTGGGTTCAGAAGGGGGGTCATGAGGTAGGATCTTCATGATATCCGCTGTCACCAACAACGAGGCCATTGATGGATCCATTTCGAAATTGTTCAGCAATTGTGCTATTGTCAAAAATGCGTTAGTCATGAGTAGCTATATGAAAGCTTTACTGTCACAAACAGCTTGAACGTATTCATCACCGCGCGCCGTCGTCGTCATTGCTCAAGCAAGAGAACGTCAAAACACAATCATATACAGTGAAACCCGGTGAATACGGAAACCAAAGGGACATATTTTACTTACCGTTTTATCCGGAGCGGGATCTAAGAAAAAAACGTCACGGATACATTTTTTTAACGACAAAACGTTGCTTAATTTCTTAACAGTGACTGTGGCAAGTTCATCATAAGAAGCCTTACGATCAATTGCTATAGTCTCAGACTAAAACTTAGCCAAAAATTCATCCGATTGCTTCGAGTCGTTTTCTCCTCTCAACAACTTACGTTACTGAGGGAGTAATAACGACTCGAAGTAATCGGATGAAATTCAGGGTAACTAAAACTACCCTTTAAACTTTTGTTCTTATATAAAACAATGGCATGTGTAACGTAACTTTGTATTACACTTTGCTTTTGTTTTTCGACTCAGCTAGGAGGACTGAATATTACACAGAACCTATGAAAATTAAGGCTATTCGCAGTTTCTATTAGGTTTTCACTTAGTAAAATATTCAGCCAAGGCTCTCGGCCATAGACAGCAGCGCCTAGCCAAAGAGCTGAATGTCTGTAAAGCGGGGTTGACAATATTTGAGATTTTATGACTCGGGACACATAAAAGAAAAAAAAATACCGTCTTTTGTCCGTATTAACTGGTGTCCGTATTAAACGGTTTAATTTTAGAGAAAATAAACGAGCTCTTCGTCGGAACAAATGAAACTGTTCGTTATATATGATTCGGTCTCTCTCAGAAAATTTCGTCAAACTGCGAGGTAGAGGAAGAATTTGAAAATGTTGGAAAGCTGACTCTATCAGCTAAGACGGAGATTGGAATTTGCCAGAGTCTTACAAAATTCGGCATCGAACTGCGAGGTACAGGAAGAATTTGAAAATATTTCAAAACTGACTAGATCAGCTGCCACGGAGGTTGCTAGTGGCGAAAGACTCAGAAAATTTCATGAAACCTCGAGATATAGAAAAAATATGAAAATATTCAGGAAAACTTACTCTATCAACACCGACGAGGAGAGAAGTTGACGAGAGACTCAGAAAATTTCATCGAACTGCGAGGTAGAGAAAGAATTTGAAAATGTTGGACAACTGACTCGATAGGCTACGATGGAGATTGCAGTTGCCGGCGAGATTCTTGGCGAATTTTTCGCCGCCGACGTTTTTGGATCGGCGAGATCCTCACCGAAAAGTCTGTGAAAATTTTGCAGGAGAAACACTTTGAAACTTTTTTAAGTCTCTCGCCAATGACTGCGTGTAAGCCACAGTTCTTATAAATCATGGCAAGCATTTCTACACAGCCAAGCATATACAATAAAACTTTCTTCAACGCATCAGGTTTGCTGGCGTACTTACAAAAACCCCTTTACCTGAATGTTCCTTGTAGAAGACCTTCCCATGCGAAGCAAGCATGTATACAAAGCAGAACATACACTAAAACTTCTTTTATTGCATCAGCTTTCGGACAGCATACATAAAAAAAACCCTTTACTATACTATACTCCATGTTGTAGAAAACCTTTGCAAGCTAATCACTCTGAGTTCAGAAAAAAGGTGCAGCTATGAATGGTGTCTTGTTTGTATCGTTCCACGGCCTAGAAGCTCAATATTTGGTAGACGGTGAGTTGTTTTAACTCCTTGAAAGCTACCCCAAACTCACTCGCTAATAATTTCAAGCATTCTTGGGTTGACTTGCTCCATTACTTGTATAGCTGCAAGTAAGACTGTCTCCCTGAACAAGAAATCATACTTGCTATGATACATGGCCTCATAATACCGACGAAAAGTTCCATAAGGCTGTATTGTTCGAAACGATAAGAGTCCATCTGCTTCAGTTTGCGAAAGATTTTCCTTCCTTCTCGGCTTTTACATAGTTAGCATACTCCTCTTCGTTAAGTTTTCAGAGACGGCTTACAGGCCTTCTTCAGTCTTTTTTACAGAAATGGTACATTCTTTTTCGTTCTTCTTTAAAACTTCGTGATACTCTTAGTGTTCGCTCTTTTTTATCACAAGGGTATTCTCTTGTTCGTTCCCCTTCAAAACAAGGGT